CCCACACCCACACCCACACCCACACCCCTCGAATCAAAAACGTTTTAAGCGTTTGTTGGTGTTTGCAAGTGATCGTCAGTTGGATATTCTTTTTCAATGTGATTGGTTATTTATTGATGGTACTTTTAAAATAGTACCTGCTTTATTTGCACAATTAGTTTGTATCGTTGGAATTTTTGAAGGTCAAGGTGAGCTATTGTTATGAGTGTTTAGAAATTTCTTAGACTTAATTATTTCCTTTTTTATGTGTTGTAGTTGTTACGCTTTGCTATGCGTTGGTTGATTCGAAGCATACTGATGTTTATCGTGCTATAATTCGTTCGTTAAAAGAAGAAGCTATTAAACGTGGAAATGTTTTGAATCCAAATTATGTTATGACCGATTTTGAGGTGGGCTTAATTAAGGCCATTAGTGCTGAAGTAATTTTTTGGTTTTATTCAGTATATGTTATGTGACAGGGTAAACTTTGTTCTGTATTTCATTTTTAGTTTCCAACTACTACACATCATGTTGGATGTTTTTTCCACCACACACAAAGTGTATATCGAATGATCTCAACTCTTGGATTAAAAACAACATACGAAAATGTTGAGAGTGTGCGTGATCTATGTCGCAAATTGATGGCAGTTGCTTTGTTGCCAATCGATGATGTTGAAGATGGTTATCTAGAAGTTTTAAATCAGTTGACATTAGAAACATTTTCTGATACACATGTTTTTAATTTAATGAATGATCTGATGAATTATTACGATCGAGAATGGCTGAGAGTAATTGGTAAAGATATGTATTGTGTTTATAATCTTGATTATCGCACCAATAATAATTGTGAGGGTACGTATACTTGTAACTTTCAACCAAGTGTATCAATAAATTAAATAATTTTAAAAAATCAAAGTTTTTAAAATATTGCTCAAATATAGTGCCTATGTAATGAAGTTTCTAACTGAGACATGATCTAAACGATGATCACAGCGACGTATGGTGTAAATAAAGTTTGTTTTGTATTTTAGGTATGAATAATCGCATCAGTCATAAATTAGTTGGAGCTCATCCAAATGTTTGGAAAGTTTTAGACATGTTGGTATCAGAAGAATTTCATACACATCAATATGTTAATCAAGTTATTACGGGTAGAAAACGGCCATCACGAGCTACAAAAGAACAAAAACGATACCAAAAGCAATTGGATAATTTATATGATTTATATGGTAGAAAAGTTATTGATTTACCAACAATGTTGAATAGTTTGGGATCCATGGTAGCAAACAATACCAAGTCCAAACAAAAGAAAAAAGATTAGACATTTGATAAAGTTAATAATTTGATGTGGAACATCTTCTAAGTATTTGTATGAAAATGAGTAGGTTTTTTATTTCGAGATATAGATATCCGCTTGTGTTGTGAAATTTATTTTTCGATTGTTGGTTGTATATAAATAAATTATATTTACATTTTGACTCTAGTTTTTTATTTTCAGTTAGTCAAATATTATTTATGAACCAAATCAAGTTAGGAACTAACTTGAGTTAGAAGGAATAATCTTGCTAAAAAAATTTTTCCAAAATAGTATGTTTTTGTCTATTATTTTAGATTTGTTTTCACCTGTACATTTAATTAACATTTACTTTATTCTATAGTGAAAAATAAATATAAGTATTTGAGCTATGGTCTATCAAGTTAAATTTATCAATAAAAAACATACATCATTTGGTAAGTCATCTCATAATTCTAAGCTGATCTTTTCATCATTGTTATATTTTGTTTTCCTTATTTTTTAGATTTATTATGTAAGGATGCTTTAGAATCGTTAAAGTTTTATAAAGGACGAACATATCCAACTCTTCCAAAAAATCTTGATGGTATAATTAAACAATGGGTTAATACAGTTAACTGCTCCATTGGGGGAAAAGTTTATTACAAAAAAATCAATGATGGTGGTACTCGTAATTATTTTGTAGAACAAAGTAAAGAAAAGAAATTAGTACTCAAAGTAATGATCCAATCAATCGAAAATAAAAAATCAAAAAAATCCGGTAGGTTGTTAATATTAAGAATTTAATCTAGTTTGTGATGATATATTCTGCAACGTTTTTTTATTATTTAATTTCAGGTGTGTTTGAAGTGTTGACATGCGAACAAGAATTTTGTCATATATTAAATGACTTTGTCAAATCTTTAAAAGATACTGGTTGTTCATTAGAAGCCGCAAGTTATCACCGAGAAATGTCAAAACGATTTGATGTGGGTCGTGATCGGTTATCTTTCGTATTAAAATGGTTAAATCAGAACTTGTCAATTAATAGTAATTTAAATAGTACAAATGATACTAGTTCTGACTATTGTCCAAGAGAAGATTCAAATTTTAATGTTAGTCATGATGAGTAAGTTACTCAATTCTTTTAGTCAGGTGTACTCACTATATTTTTAAATAACATAAGATAATTAATACCTATGAACTTTTCGTTTACTTTCAATTAAATTTATAGGCACATTAGTAATGATCATGATGACGACAATGATGAAAATAACGAAGATGACAGTAGTAGTGAGAGCAGCCACGATAATACCAATCATGATGCATCAAAATCAACATTATCTGCAAGTTCAACGATTACGTCAATTGAAACTACACGGAAAAGATCCAATTCTCATTTGACTATTCGGTCACCACCACAACAAAATAAAAAGTTAAATAAAACATTGGAAAACTTATCGATATGGAATAATGAAGCTGCTGCGTATAAAATTATGTCTCCATTGAATCGACGAGAAAGACGGCGTGGTCAAAAACAGAGTGTATAAGATTGTATTTACATTTGTTTTTCATAAAAGCTAAATGTTCTTCCTATTCATTTTTTCGCTTGTTATGTTAGCATTTTTCCTTATACTTTTCTCGTTGAATAGTACCTTAGCCTGTTGTGTGTCAATCTTGTGAAAAAATGAAACCTTCTTTCTTGAACGTACTTATCGATGTTTTTGTGTCTCATATTTGAAACAGAAAAATAAAGAACTAAATAGTACTTTGATAACATGAGTTAATCACCAACCAATCGAGTAAAAAGAACATCCATCGTCTATTTTTACAGACGCATGTTACAACTCAATAAAACAGTTTCAAAATTATAAACTCATATCAACGATAAGACGACCAGATGTAAAATATTACGGTGTCTTATTGTTTCATTTCATTTTTCCATACTATTTAACCATTCATATCATTAAAACGTTACGCGCAAAAAACGTATGAACTATAATATATATAAAGACGACAACAGATTATAACTCTCTGGCTCGATATTAACTGAGATAGTAACGCTTTCTCCTGTTGGTATCAATTCATGATGTATATATTATATTTGAATGGACACTATTTTAAGTATATGATATATATTTAAAAAGCAAACGCAAGGAATGATCGTCGAAAATTAGATCGTTGAAATCAATATTGTTCGTACTAAACGATCAAAAAAATTCGGCGATCTTTATGTCGATGATCTTCACATCGACGATCTTTATTTCGATGATATGTATTTCGGCGATCTTTCTTTTCGATAATGTTAGTTTCGGCGCGAATTTCGGCGATCTCACTTTTCGGCGATCTACCATTCGGCGAAGAGCATTACATTCGTTTATTCGATTCAGTTAGATCAGCTCTCTCAAGTAATGTACATTACCTTATCAACACACACCTAAAATATGGCATTTGATACATCTCTCTCAGACTTTGTGATAAACCTACGGTTTGTGACAAATAGCAGGACAATTAAATTCTGGGTATCATCAAATTTAGTGTCAATTTTTGTACTCGAATACTCCAAATAATTATTGGGAGAGTTATATACGTTCGATCTTTAGTTTGCTTGATTATTTTCTGAATGATATAATTTGAATACATTAGTATTAGTAAATATGTCAACTTTTGATAAATATCATTGCCTATTTCTGTGTACTTTTCTAACAAATACTTGTATTTTTTATGGAATCCAAATATGTTTTTGAAGAAAATAGTGAGGAAAAATGTAAATCGAAGTTTTACAATTCTTTTTTGTGTACTCAAAAAGTGAGTACACTACTAAAATCGGTCTGTGTGTCCGTCCGTCCGACCGGCCGTTTACACGATAACTTTCGAAAGGAGAGTCCAATCGCGATGAAATTTTCTACACAGTTCAGTCTTAACAATGTCTCGGTCGAGTTCTAAGATGAGCAGAATCCGTCAACAAATGGCTGAGTTATCAAAAAAATTGTGATTTTTGATCAGACCATCCCTGAGGTGGGGTACAGGGACTTTTACAAAAAAAATTTTTTTTTTCAGAATTATTCACAATATATATAAATCGACTCAGTTTTTAACGCTGATTCCGAATCTGATATTAGTTTTGAACCGAATCATAGTTTAGTGTACTCAAAAAGTTCATAGACTATAGAATAGTCAGTGTGTCCGTCCGTCCGATTGGCTGTTTGCATAATAACTTTTGACAGCAAAGTCAGATTGTGATGAAACTTTCTAAACAGCTTAGTCTTGACAATAGCTCGGTCGAGTGCGAAGATGAAAAAGACCGGTCGAGCCGTTCCTGAGTTATTGCAAAAATACCCATTTTTCTCTATAGCTTTCTGTGGAAAAATGGACCCATCGCGACTTTCGTAAAAGACTTTTCCTATCATAGTCAATTGAAACCCCAACTACTATATACCATTCGATAGGAAATTTCAAGTACTACAAAATGATATATAAAACAAAAAGAACCAAGAACGTTGACTAATCTATCACAAAGATAATTAAACATAACTAGGTTATATTTTGGTCCACAATCTAATTGATCCACAAATAGAGCTTTATCTTCCGATTACGCTGATGATACTTCGGGGTTTTCAGGTATGGAGAACTCGAATGTGTACTGCACTTCCATCGGAATACAATTAGTTGTGCAATGACCAATAGAAATGAAGTTATAGGAAAAACGACTTTCTTAGAGTAAATCAAGGTGCAGAGTTCAAACTTGAGTTCTATTCGGTCCCATATCCTATTGGTTTGGCAACGCGGAATATAAATCAAGATTTTAAATGGTAGATTTGACAGTATAATTTTGATATTCAGACAGTCTAGGATGATTGATTTGTATGATTCACTTTTTGAAGTACACATAACTCTCGGATTTAAATCCGAAGTTTCCGCATTTATTCTTTATCCACTACAAATGCGAATAACTAATATTAAACAATAAATATTTATAACAAGCTTATTCATCACATCATTTAATGCTTATCAAGAAAAAAACTATTGTCTTTTAAAGATATTATATCATATATTACGTATTAGTACATAAAAGATTCGAACAAAATGCATCAGTTCCATATGGTGCTCGTGTTCAAAAAATCCTTTACTGTATAAATGAATTCGTTCATTGGATACAATTCGTATATTGGGAAAATCGTCTTCTTGAATTCATTTATATAAAGAAGAAAATAAACAGATTTTATCCAAGAATCACTCGTAGTCTTGAAGGTGGGTGTGTGGGTTTGGGTGGGTGTGAGTGTGGGTGTGGGTGTGGGGTGTGGGTATTGGTGCGAGTAGGTGTGGCTGTAGCGTTTCTTCTATAACACGCTCCGCCACACACCCACCCTCCAAAGCTCACACTCACACCCACACCTACACCCACACCCTGGAAGCAAATCATTTGAAAGTGCCAGGCACATATTCGAAAATGTAACCATCACATAGGAGCGGTGCTGCCATTTTTTAGGTTATGAAGTAACACAATGCTTCTCTCTTGCTATCGAAATATATCCCCAATATATGAAATTCATAAGGCAATCTTGCCCTTGAATAGAACTGTATAGATACAATAAACTTATAGGTAGTTTCTTATAATTACCTTCCATATTTTAACGCTTCTACAGGTCCTAATACATATTCCACAAAAAAAAAGGCCGTATGATACGCAATCAGCGACTGATCTCCAACAAGTGGAACGCAATTATAACTACATTGAGACGCCAAACAATTCAATTGCTGTCTAGCGGTTAAAAAAAACACGGACATATGCATTAGGATAGTGTTTCGCGACACAGGGAAAGCAGCTTAGGAAAACTTTCACAGTTACACCGACCACCATAATTTATTGCAGCTCCTATAACATGAACGTACTCAACAAAATAAAACTAACGAGGGGCACGTGTACAGGATCATTCCAGTGCGTACAACCACATGTGTACACTTCCTCTCAAAGGCTTATGTTCATTCTCAAGAAAAACATGTTTTGCTCCGAACAAAAATCATAAAAAAACTTAAAAAACCAAGTGGCTCCGCTTCCGCATTCCTTTTCAAAACCTAAAGCTCATAAATCCAACAATGATACCTACCCGTCAAACCCAGCGAAAATTGGATAACCATGAAAAAACAGAAGATCACGACACAAAGAATTGCAACTAGAAAGCATCCTTCCATCGTCAATTTAAACAAATTTTCACCCTCCACTACACTGATACAATAGCGGGGAACAATTCAACCGCTATTCATTATCCATATCTCCACCAGAACACATATACCATTGCGAATACATATGCGAAATAATCCCACTAGAGAAACGATTACTCTCAACGCCGCCTAGCTCACGTCTTTTCAACATATTGGGGCGTTATGCTATTCATAAACTCGGTAACCTGAGCTGCGCTGCTTCTTCCCTTTTTCGTTCATAAATTTATCACCAACGGATGCCCTTCTC